TCACAGCCTCTGTATTGCTTTCTGACATATTTTCAATCGAACATGTAATTATAATGATCCAGTGTTCAGTTATTATCTTGTGTGATAAAATCATCCAGCTAGTACCGGAAAAATAAGGGCCTTCCAACACCAAGTTCATATAAATCATAGTAAAAGGATTCAAATTCAACAGTCATCACTTAATATATGTATATCATATCCCCGAGTAAACATACATATATACCATTTTTGTCTCCAATCGCCGATTATTTTCAAATCTAAATTGGATTATATTTGATCGTGTACGGCGACTTGTGGTAGACATGTACGGCGACTTGTGGTAGACATGTACGGCGACTTGTGGTAGACATGTACGGCGACTTGTGGTAGACATGTACGGCGACTTGTGGTAGACATGTACGGCGACTTGTGGTAGACATGTACGGCGACTTGTGGTAGACATGTACGGCGACTTGTGGTAGACATGTAGGGCTGCTTGATATTTTATGGATAAGTGGTGTACAGCTGCTTGATGTAGAACTAGTTTGTTTCATCGTTAATAATCAGTGAAAATAACCATTTTATGCAAGTATATCAAAGTAGTTAAGCTTGGTGATATCCAACAGCACAAGTATATAATCATATTACTTAATGTAATGTTTACTAACGTAGTCAACATAGCCTAACCTGGATTATATTTGTTTTACTTTCAGATACCATCACCATGCTCGGTGGAGCTGCTTCTACTGTACCAAGACATTTAATGCTTTTGAGGAAATCATTTCCCACTTAACAGAGGAGCACAGCGAGAGTCAACTAAAATACACTCGACAAGAAGGACTTGTATCCAAGGTATACTCATTTAAAGTTATACCAGAGATATGTCGGCAACAAGGACGGAAATTAACAATATCCTGTGAAGATAATTTACATTTGTCCAAAATAAATGTTGTTCCAAAAGATAGCCCATATTCTAAAGTTCAATTGGACCAGTTCAACTTTGGGGTTACAAGGATTCTCCCACGTACGAAGAAAAGAACATTCGTTTATCGACAGGCTTTCTTTGAGGATATGCGATGTAGACTGGAACGACTATGTCGATATGGGCACATAGATACATCCGAATGTGACAACACAGAAAGTTTATATATGAAGGGCGCCTTAAGTCTGTTCAGATACTTAGTGCAAGGATTCGTGACCTCGGACAGCTTAAGGTTAAAAAAGACATGTTCCTGCATAAGCTGACGGACAAATGCGTCACCATTGAAGAAATAGCCAGTATGCAATGGTGAACAGCTAGTTGTATATTTGCTCTGATGTTACTACATTGATAAACAACAACAAATGCTTGTTGTTAAAGTATTTAATCAACAAAACATACATATATGTTATACCTGTAACATACTGGATGTAAAATGTAAACTAAAAAAAAGTAGTAAAAGAAAGTACATAGGAAAATACCTGATATTTCCATTTGTGTCAACAAATCAACATTTGTAAAAATAAAGCATGTGTAACATAATCTAATATAATCTACTATGTAAAAGATTTTATGTCCAAAAAGAACATTTCCCAGATTTTTCCTGTGTTTGAGACAAAAACGAACTATCAAAATTACTATCTTGTCACAACTAACATGATCATAGGAAATTCCGACCGATTTCACAACAACTTGAATTACGGATATTTTTCATGCAGGTATTATTCAAATCCTACACCTGGCTGAAATTTACATCAAAACATGCAGAAGTGAAAAATGCTTGAACCGTAAATTTTACCAAAATGTACATGTATGTTATAAGAAATGAGGTAATGAATTTTCTCCACAAATACCCTTGTGGTATTTGTTGAATAAACATCTTTAATACATGTTTTGTATTTTATGAAATAAAAAGAGATGTTCAAAGTCAACAAAAACAAATTACATGATAACATACTGCAAATGGGCGGATTCAACGTATATACTGAGTAATATCAGAAACTTCTACTCGGTGTGCGTACAATGTCTGCCATGTACTTTCAGTGATGATCGCCACCCATACTGCCTTCCACACTTTTCACATCTGTATCGTTTGTCTCCGTGTTTTCCTCTTGCTTGCTCGTCACGTTTGTACTTCCGAGAGAAAGTCGCCTGGCAAACATCGCAAACGAATGGCTGTGGTTTATCTTGACACATCTTCAAATGTATAACGGTGACTCGCTGGAGTTGAATTCCATCTTGCAAAATGTGCAGGAATCTAGACCGACTGAGGAGTGAGCTGATAAGTGGAAACGGAATTGTACTCGCTGATTGTAGCCTTTTCCGCACGTTTGACATGTATATTTGAATTCTCTGGTATGCTTATTCTTTATATGCAAATGGAGGCCAAATTTGCTCTTGAGTGTTTTCCCGCAGGTTGCGCAGAAGTCGATACAGCTGCTTTTATTTGGGGTAATTGTATTAAGTGGCCTATGCATCCGTCGCACGTGCTTATTTAGGTTACTTTTATTGTTTGTGCTATAGTCACAGTTTTCCTCGGGACAACTTTTTATATCATGCCCACGTGTGTTGTCTGTCGTCTCAATTTCAATTTCAGCCAAAATGTCCAAAGATGTGTCTATATCTAAGACATCCATATTAAATCTGAAATAAATCAACGGGTAATGAATTAGATCGGATATAAAAGCAAGCTTCAGAATTATAGGAATGAACAAGTTCAATTAATTCAACATAACACAATTAAAGTGTAAGGCGCTATTATTATAAAGATCAGAAAACGCACCCACAAATTATTTCCAACGTATCCACGACTGCAGGAAACAAATCAAAGGCACATTTGGGACGTGTTTACCATTTGACGAAACACATGTGGCACCCTTCATAATTCCTCCTACGACATAATTATGATCATCCGTCTGACTGAACATGGTAATTTACTTGGTTATCGCTTCTGAGCGTACGCTTGCATTTATTTGGTAGGATAGGCACAGCATTTGCTTATAATATAGCCACATGTTCTTGTTGTTATCACAAGCAGCCGCACACCAGTTTTCAAGACGCCGTAGACCAATTTTCGGCAAAGTCATAAGCAACCGTACACATCTAACGATTTTCAAGTGCTGGTTTTGGATTTAAAGACATCAGAAAAACGAAACCAATGCATACGTATGGTAACTTTGAGTGACAATATAAACATTTTGAGTGATGACTGTTGAATTTAAGTTAATTTGAGGATGATTTATTCAAATCTAAAGAGTTAACCATCCTCATTTTTCCCGGTACTAAGCCGGATAGTTCATCCCCCCCCCCTCAAAAAAAAAAAAAAAAAACTGGTCACTGGGTCTTCCAAATTACATAACGATTGACGACAATACACGTTAGGAAACGATACATAGAATGTGAATTATGTATAATATTTATAAATACAGTTAAATCTGAAAAATCTTACCGTGTTTCTGGATGTGCGGCAAACCCACTCGCCTCGCTTAGTACCAATATCCGGTGGTGGTGCTCCCATACACTGACGTTTGTATCTATTTTGAATTTCATGGTCCAGACATATCTACTACGGGGAAATCGCCGGTCTTGTATCGCAGTGAGTGAAAGGTGTGTATTTAGCTTTTTATATTGTAAGTCGTGTTTATATCATTAAAGAAACTGCAATACAGATTGTCTCATCAATAATTGAAACTAAATACACATTGATAGTAACAATACAGTCACATTATATATATAAATTACATGATGGCATTACATTGTTGAGCAATTTAACATTCTATAAGGTAAACATAATCTTCATTTTGTGCAAAGTTGGATGGTTAAAGTAGTATTCTGGAATGAATTTACGTCGTAATGGACAAACACTTGGAATGTTACATTTAAATAGACAATAACATTCCTCACCTACTTCCTCAGTACATAAATTGCAATCTCGTGGAATTCCTGTCCATCTACCTGTTTCTACTGGTAAATGAAGATTGGATGAGTGAAGTTTACACATAATATTTCTGTTTTTATGGTTGATTTTTAAAAGTTACTTTTCAATTCCAAAATTAACTTTAAAGATATAGTACAGTTGACCAAGGCTGCTATTTTCAATATCATCACACCATTTTTGCAGAAAATGCTCTTGAAGTCTCTGTTGTACTATGTGCTTCAAGCAGTTTTTATTCATCGCTGTTATTATTTATGACAGGTCCAAATATAATTTATACCAGTATCGTTAATTATTTGTTTGACATAACTGGTCCAATTAAAAGTCACTTCCCCCCTGTCGTGTAACTGAAACATTAACTTATACACATAAGCAGACAGTTAATTGTAATTTTATGTTATCAGTTTTTGCCAGAAAAGCACCATTCGGAATTTCATTCCTAAAGGAAAACGTCCAGTCTCGCCATTAACAATGAAATTAGGAGTACTTTTCCTCGGGTTAAGAATTTTTTCCTACAGAACTGTAAGTGGATTTTTTTCAACAATAGTACAGTTTTCAAATCCCCAAACTTCGGAAGAGTACAGTTATACATAGGAGATTTCAAAGTATCAAATAATTTCAGTTGTAAATCAACTGGTAGACTAATATTTCTAATGCGGCACAGAATTTGAAAGCGACAGATAGCATCCTTTTGGACATTCACAAACACAGATGATCTGTCTTTCCTCATTTATCTTAGAGCAAAATCAAAAATATCTTCTTTAAAACAATCATCACTTAAAAATAGAAAAGGATTATAAAGATTATGTAAGAGGCTCTTGTTCGAGTGGTCGGAATGAAGCGGTTTTTATGAAATAAATGATAGAACGGCTGTACAATTAGAAATGTGTATTTTGCTATAATAATTTTTTATCTAAACGCTTTAATACACAATAGTTATATGAAATAAACATTCAATAACACTCCCCTAAAAAAAATCAAATGAATAGATAAGTTTTTGATTTTGTGTCCCAACTGAGCGTTGAACACCTTCATACAATGATAATCTGTTCAGAACTCTCCTGGGCCGAAGGTTAAAATCTGGTATGTTTACGTTCATGGATAACCACGATGAAAGTGTGATGTAAGAGATAGGCCGGCGAAACAGAAGATTTGGTTGAAACTATGGCAAAGGCTGTGGTGTTGGGAGGAGGAATTAGCGGATTATCATCTGCCTATTATGCATTACAAGAAGGGACTTCTTCAAAATTTGCCAAGGTAATAACATTACTGAACGGTTCTATAAGCCGGATGAAAAGGTCATCACAGTCATCAGGTGTTCATTTGTTTACGCCGAGTTTATCAGTTTTATACCTAACATGTTGGGTACTTAGAAACTGTTTTTCATGTACTGCTTCACTGAACAACATACAACAGACCCGTGACATGTTATCCTAAGCAAAGTGCCTTTCCCATGGACACAACCACGAGAGCACGACAGACCCGTGACATGTCATCCTAAGAAGTGTCTTTCCCATGGAAACAACCACGAGAGCACGTAATTTGAGAATTATTAAAACAGTTCTTTAAAAATGCTTACAGAATAAGCAGCATCATTTCAGGGGCAATTTAAACAATGAATATAAATAAATAAGGTGTATATTCCCGAATTATGACAAGATTGCTGAAGAAGTGATAATATGAGCAAGGCAGTGCTCAGAAAGAGAAAAGTTTACATGTCACAATGCCAATATGAACATGAACATCAAGAAAATAAAACACCAGTAAATTTAAGTTAACTGGTGAGTGCTTCAAGAAATGAAGAAAATTTGGTGTGCTTCAGAGAGTGATCGATCAAACAATTATTGTGACATTTGGTGTCCATATGTTGTGACATCATGATATTGGCTGATGTTATATTCAGAGTACTTGGAGCAATAAAGAAATTTTAATTTATCTCAAGTTCATTTCAAATTCAAGATAGCAAAAATACTGTCATAGTAATTTTGTGTAACATTATAATTACAGTTAAAGTACAGAGCATCTATACTACTTGCACTGCTGAAGGCTCCATGCCCTTCACTTCTGGAAGATTTTTTCTTGGATGGATATATGTCCTGGAACCTTTCACCTGGATGAGAATGAAATATGGTCTTACATGCTCTTAAATTTCTAACTAAATGTTATTACAACACACCAATAACAGACTATCTTATAATATTATTGATAAATAAAACATAAATTCTATTTGAAACATGTTAAACAAATTCTTAAAGAATGTAGACCTTATTTTCTTTTCATTTGTAGGTGGTATTGCTTGAGGCTTCTAACAGATTTGGTGGTTGGTTACATTCTACTAAATTTGAAGATGGGGCTGTGTTTGATTATGGTCCACGGAGTTTTCGTCCAACTTATGTTGGTTCTGGATTGAACACTGTGGAGCTTGTAAGTTGAATCTTTATTATATGTAAAGTGTCATAATTCAAAGTCAGCACATCAAGGTCATGGTATTCTGTATACAAGGTCAGCACACCAAGGTCATGGTATTCTGTATACAAGGTCAGCACACCAAGGTCATGTTATTCTGTATACAAAGTCAGCACACCAAGGTCATGTTATTCTGTATACAGTCAGCTGAAATCATGCATTTGGAAAGCATTATTAATACTTTGATAATGTAGACTTGTCTACTGAGATAGATATTTGGTTTTACATTTTTTTCTTTATCCTTGTAAAAAGCCAGTGTCATATTAGGATGAAAGAAAAATATTAAAGTTAAAGATTAATGATAAAAAAGTAACAGATTCCCTTCAGTGGTGATATCTTTTGTCTTTCTTAGGCTCTGAAGCTTGGCCTTCGTGATGATATTATTGCAGTAGACAAACGTGATCCAAGCAATGTCCGGTATGTCTACAAGGATAAGAAAGTCCATCAAATGCCTGGAAGTAAGTTGATTACATTTCCTATATTAAAATTCAACTTTAATGAAAAGCAAAGTTTTTTTTTCATTACAAATGGTTTGTAAGACGGAATGAATAAAGTATGGTTGAAATAATTGATGTTGAGAGTGGAATTATTTTGAAAAGTATGTTATCTTTGTTTCTAGCCATACTTGATGCCATTCGTGTTGTTCCACCATTAAAGAGAAGGTTGATATGGACTGCTTATCAAGACACTTTTGCTGCAAAAGCGACTGAAGATGAAAGTGTGCATTCATTTTGTACAAGACGTTACGGGAAAGAGGTAAATAGACATTGCCACAAAAGATGTATGTTATGCTATTATTTGTAATTAAGTATTCATGATGCCGATTTGTGTATGATTGTACTTTTGTTTTACGTCCCCTGTATTTATTTCTCTTAATCATCAATATTGATTCATGCTTTATGTAAAGGTTTTTTTCTACTGTCTTTATTCTGAAGTTTGCACTTCAAAATTTGTGTTGACAAGTAAATCTTGATGGTGGCATTAGATTCACCAGTGTAACCTATATTTTCACCCTTGACCTGTATTGTGAAAATCTTTAATCTGATTGCTTTTCATGCCTTATGCTATGTTGTATAAGGTTATCAAAATACATGTGTTCTGTACTATATTGTGTATGATGTGGGTGTGGGGGGTGGGGGTACATCTTAGGGAAACAGTTTGTTACATATCAGAAGTAGTAATTTATTACCTTCATTTTGACCTTTAACCTTCACAAGGCTTAGATGATACCTTTGGCAAGTCTGATCATGATGTGCTTTTCCCCGTAGGATCTGTATGTATTGCCATTTCTTCTCTGACAAAGACTTGCCTTTTATAAAAAAAAAGAATTTGAGGTGAAGCTAAGAATTAGATATATTCGAATGTCAGCCCAAGACATTTTTTACCGGTGTGACATATGACATCACTATGAAATCATTCAATATTGATGACAAGGGTATGCTGGATGAATGAAAATAGCTTTGAAATGAACAAAATTGCCAAATGGCCTATTATTGTTTTGAAGACACCTCATTCAATCTTGTATATTTATAGATAGCTGATATCATGGGTGATGCTATGGTGAGGGGAATATTTTCATTCAATCTTGTATATTTATAGATAGCTGTTATCATGGGTGATGGGAATATTTTCATTCAATCTTGTATATTTATAGATAGCTGATATCATGGGTGATGCTATGGTGAGGGGAATATTTTCATTCAATCTTGTATATTTATAGATAGCTGATATCATGGGTGATGCTATGGTGAGGGGAATACTTTTTGTATATTTATAGATTTTAAAAAAAAAATCTACAGAAAAATTAATTGACTGGTCACTGCGACGAAACATTTGATGTCAGGTCTACATTATCTCAGCTTTATAATTTGGAGCAGGAAACCACAATGAGTGTGATTTTAACACATGTAATTACCTTATAGTAAACAAATATAGTGCGCAGGTACTTTTTGGAGATCAGATTTTGATTGTATAATTAACAGTTAATGACAGTTAACACGTTGAGTATGAGGAGACTGATGCCACCCGGCTTGGGCTGAACGCATACTATTGGTCAGAAAACGATGTTGTTTTAACTGTCTGAACATTTTCAATCCTACCTTGTCCCCATAAAAGCAGGTGGTTTGTTCAGTATAGGCATGATCTTTACTTTACTGAAGAACTTTTTTGCTTCAAAATACAGACTTTTAATGGTAATGTCATAGTTTAAAGTTTTAGCTCTTTTAAGTCATGCTTCAAATAATATAAAATATAATCATATTCAACATTTCTCAATTTTTGGTAAAATTCTTCATTATGAAATCTTTCAAAATTCTCAGTTACTTTTTTGCTCTTCTTGGCAAAAACAAGTACATTTTTATCAGTGTATTTTCAAATGTAGAGATCAAAATTTAAGTGTATTGAATCAAAGAAAAATGATATCTTGGTGAAAATTTCAAATCGTAAATGGATAGTCAAGAATATCAAATTATAGTCAAGGATGTCATTTCTGTTGTTACTTAATGATACTGTCAGAAAACATGTTAACTATAAAAACAAATTCTAATATGAAGGCAGCTTTCAATAAGTCAAAAGTTACCAATCATTTAAGTACATAAGATGTTTATCATTAACATCTTAAATCATCTGTACAATGAAAAAGGACTCAAAAGAAATAAGAGAAATATTAAAAGTGACCGACACCTAGGATGAATTTTACAGCATAATGTGGAATGAATTGTCATTTTTGAATTCATATAGGGTTGATGTACTTATTGTTTATCAACTCCAGACCAATAGGAAAAAGTCAACAATACATTAGAGTGATTCACACTGTATTGATATCCATAATACTTTATATATACTGTTCTTCAGTGACATATCGTTTTTTTGCATTTGCATACAGACATATTATGACACAAAATAATTTATCTTCACGTTTTGCAATTGAAACTTAAAGACACTGGTAATTATTTTCCAGAAAAAATAACTATAGTTGAAAGAAAATTAATCTAGGTGCACTGAAAATGTCTGGTTACTGGATTCAAATTAATTTCACAACTCTTACATTTCTTAGTGCTTTTAGCCCTTTGATTAATTTTAGCGAGCCTTTAGGAGCTAAAATCAAACGTTATTTAATGAAAAGAAACAAATTTAAGATAGTTTTTATTGTACATTAATTATTTAGTTACAATTGTAGAAAGCTTACTTTTCCATGTTTCATTGAAATTTTCTTGACTTATATGTCTGTAGTTTATTGTGACATCACAATATCATCTAGATTCATGTGTTTATTGATTTATATAAAGATGAAATCTTTACCTCACATTAGCTTATCATAAAGGAAGTACTGTCTGATCATTAATTTTTGTGGTGATTTATTTTTGTTGATTTCTTGGGTATTCTTAATTCACAAATTCATATGTCTATGAACTGTTTGAATTAATGCTAGCAATTGTTTAAGCTATATTTATCCATGAAATGAAGTGTCAATGAATAGATGTTTTAAAAAAAACCACGAAAATTGAGTTCCATGAAAATACATTATTTTACAGTAAAACCTAAGAATGTTACTTTGGAATATTTATGGAATAAAATGTTATTCATGTAATAAAGATATATATTAAAGTATGGATTTCTAGGTTCACCCTTCTATTACAGGTCCAATGGTATCCATGTCAAAACCCATCTTGCATTACATCACTAACTGGACTATGTGGTCATTGAAAGAAGGTTGTCAGCAACTGTCTGATACTTTGGTCAAACACCTGACCAGTCCACAGATGTCAGCTGAATTACAGCTTAATAATAAATGTACAAAACTGACATTCAAAGATGGTGCAGCAGTGGTATGTTTTCATCTTATCAAGCCACCTTAATATTAGCTTTCATGTTTCATCTGTTGTTGTTTACTTAATGACATTTTAATACTTAATGGTGTATTAATACTTAATGATATTTTAATACTTAATGATGTTTTACAGATCAGGTTTGTTAAGGACCCTCTTTGCTGTTTGCTGTGCTTAAAAATTTCCACTTGTAGGATTTAGTTAAAACTTGCCTGGAATAACTTGAGTTGATTGTAAACAGATGTTATCAATTTTTACTTTGGTCCAAAATGGCTTTGATGACTAACATCTTGAAATATTCAAAATGTTGTAATAGCAAAATTTAGCTAAAATATGTACATTTACGTGAATCAGGAAGCTGCATCCTGCCATTCAAATGAATGATGTAAACTCAGATATAGAGGGCAAGGGTTAAATGTATAGTAAAACAATTTTGTTGGAAGAAATGGTGTTTGGCCAATTCCATCTCTGAGAAGATTTTGTCCACCCCTTCCAGTAAAAAGTTGAGAGGTGGTGTAAGTCAACCGTACATTGTTGAATCAGAATGGTGTGGTACATGACTAAAGCTTCCTAATCATGCATCATAAATTCATCTGTAACACTTGTTCTGTATATTGACAGGTAACCAGTGATAAAGGGGAGATAACTACAGACCATGTTTTCAGTTCTATCTATGCTAGAGGTAAGTCAGAACTGTCCTGCCCATGATACATCCAAAAAATGAATGTCTGTTAACTTGTCTTCTGAGAGGAAAGCAACCAAGGGGATGAGGGTAAGGTACATGAAAGAGAGAGGAGATGAGGGTAAGGTACATGAAAGATGGAAGAAACAGAAGATGAGGGTAAGGTGCATGAAAGAGGGAAGAAACAGGGGATTAGGGTAAGGTACATGAAAGAGGGAATAAACGGGGGATGAGGGTAAGGTACATGAAAGAGGGAAGAAACAGGGGATGAGGGTAAGGTACATAAAAGAGAGAAGAGATGAGGGTAAGGTACATGAAAGAGGGAAGAAACAGGGGATGGGAGTAAGGTACATGAAAGAGGGAAGGAACAGGGGATGAGGGTAAGGTACATGAAAGAGGGAAGAAACAGGGGATGGGAGTAAGGTACATGAAAGAGGGAAGGAACAGGGGATGAGGGTAAGGTACATGAAAGAGGGAATAAATGGGGGATGAGGGTAAGATACATGAAAGAGGGAAGAAACATTTACTAGATGTAAATAAATATAGAGGTGTATGTATTTTTATTGTGCTACTGGTCTGTTGTATTATTTTAAGTGTGATAACCCTGGAACATTTCATAGCAAAATTGTGGGTTCTGTGTGCGATATCTTGTGGATAAAACAAGAAGATTATGTGCATCAAACGATTCCCTTAGGTCGCATAACAATATATTGTATTGGCTTTAAAATTTGGTGTCATTGATTTGTAATCCTCAAAGGAGCATATAAGTCTGTGATTGGTCAGTTTTGTTCTCCTGAAACCTACTCTAGACCAATAATAACTCTGCTTTTCTCTATTTTGCCAAGAAATGTTCCAGAGGTGTAGACAGTAAATGTAATGCCTGGAATATCAAGGATGTATGGAAGTAGACTAGTCTTTTATTTTGGACTTTTTGTATTCTTGGTCAGATTTCATTTTATCATCATTGATACATTGTGTAAGCTCAGTTCTCCTAAAACCTGAATGGAATGACATGGAATTCCTCTTACTTCATATTAACATGTTTTCTTCCATTTTTAAAATAATCAGGTCAAGTATATGGGAAGATCAATGTTTCAGATTTAGCTCAAATCCTTCCTGAGGAACACAGTGAATTAGCACAGGAGCTAAAGGCCATCCCTGCTGTGTCTGTTATTGTGGTCAATCTGGAATATCCTGTTGAGAGTCCAATGAAGGTAATATACACAGGAATATTACAGTGTATCTAAATTATATATCTGGTGATGATACAGACACAATGTTACAGTGTATCTAAATTATATATCTGGTGATGATACAGATACAATGTTACAGTGTATCTAAATTATAAAACAGATACAATGTTACAGTGTATCTAAATTATATATCTGGTGATGATACAGATACAATGTTACAGTGTATCTAAATTATAAGTCTGGTGATGATACAGATACAATGTTACAGTGTATCTAAATTATAAATCTGGTGATGATACAAATACAATGTTACAGTGTATCTAAATTATAATACAGATACAATGTTACAGTGTATCTAAATTATAAATCTGTTGATGATACAGATACAATGTTACAGTGTATCTAAATTATAAATCTACAGATACAATGTTACAGTGATACAGATACAATGTTACAGTGTATCTAAATTATAAATCTGTTGATGATACAGATACAATGTTACAGTGTATCTAAATTATAAATCTGTTGATGATACAGATACAATGTTACAGTGTATCTAAATTATAAATTATAAATCTGTTACAGTGATGATACAGATACAATGTTACAGTGTATCTAAATTATAAATCTGTTGATGATACAGATACAATGTTACAGTGTATCTAAATTATAAATCTGGTGATGATACAGATACAATGTTACAGTGTATCTAAATTATAAATCTGGTGATGATACAGGTACAATATGATGCTACAGGAATTGTTCAACTTTTCCAATGAAGTCAAAGTTTTCTAAGTTGATGTTGATTTTTTTCTGTTGAAACTAAATGTCAGAAAAGTTATGGTCTTTGGATAAAACTCTATATGATAAATCACTTAAATACAAAACACAACTTAATATGAGGATGAATCACTTTTGTTACTGTATGTTATACTGATTATCAGCAGAAATTTGCTGTAAATACATTATATTGTGACTTTGGAATTTCATCGGTATCCTCAGTCTATTAATTCATGTGCCTATCAACTGTTGAAATAACTTAATTAATTCATTGAGCTGTATCTTTCCATGAAGTCATGTGTCCAGGAAATGGTTTTTAAATTTCTTTTTGCAAAACCACTGAAAATTGATCCACTTAAAAATATCTGATATAATAGCAATTGATTGCTTTTATCCTCAGGGCTTTGGTCACTTACTACCTTCGATTGAAGACGGACCAGTTCTTGGTGTGGTGTACAACTCCTGTGTCTTTCCACAACAGGATCGAATCCAACAAAAGGGAAAAAGCTCTAGATTTACGGTAAGTTATGAGGACTCAACTATTGTCTCCACAGAGGATGATTCTTTATGAACTGAGAATGGACTTATGGAATCAACTCCTCCAGGCAGATTTCTTAGGGAAAGTGAGATCTGATAATCACAGTTAGGGGAGATAACTCTGATATAGATCACAGTCAGGGAGGATAACTCTGATACAGATCACAGTCAGGGGAGATGAGTGATACAGATTACAGTTAGGGAAGATAGCTCTGATACAGATCACAGTCAGGGAAGATAACTCTGATACAGATCACAGTCAGGGGAGATGAGTGATACAGATTACAGTTAGGGAAGATAGCTCTGATACAGATCACAGTCAGGGGAGATGAGTGATACAGATCACAGTCAGGGAAGATGACTCTGATACAGATCACAGTAAGGGAAGATAACTCTGATACAGATTACAGTCAGGGAGGATAACTCTTATACAGATCACAGTCAGGGAAGATGACTCTGATACAGATCACAGATAGGGAAGATAACTCTGATACAGATCACAGTCAGGGAAGATGACTCTGATACAGATCACAGTCAAGGGAGATGGATGATACAGATCACAGTAAGGGAAGATAACTCTGATACAGATCATAGTTAGGGAAGATAACTCTGATACAGATCACAGTAAGGGAAGATAACTCTGATACAGATCACAGTAAGGGAAGATAACTCTGATACAGATCACAGTCAGGGAAGATGACTCTGATACAGATCACAGATAGGGAAGATAACTCTGATATAGATCACAGTCAGGGAAGATGACTCTGATACAGATCACAGTCAAGGGAGATGGATGATACAGATCACAGTAAGGGAAGATAACTCTGATACAGATCATAGTTAGGGAAGATAACTCTGATACAGATCACAGTAAGGGAAAGTAGCTGTGATACAGACCTCAGATAGGGAAAATCGCTTTGATGCCATTCACAATTAGGGAAAGTGACTCTAATAAAAGATTTGGGAAGGTCACTCTAATTAAAAAAATATAACAATATGGAAGGATTACTCTGATACAGTTCACTGCAAAGGAAGACAACACTGACGCAGAAAGCAATCAAGGAAGATAATAGAAAAAGTAATTTCTTTTAAAATATGTGTCCAGAATTTATCATATCTTGTGGCAATGTCTAATGCAGAAAATGAAAGTGAAACGATTTTGTAACTTTGTACATGATGCAAGAAAACATTGTTCTTATATTTTCATACAATGGTACTATTTACCTCGTAAAATCTTCAAATAGTGGACAATTCACTTCTCCTTGTGTCAATGGTCTGATTGTTCTTTAACGATTCTTGTTATTGTTGTTTCTTGAGAAGTTCAGGAATGAATTTTTCAAAGTTTCATGGGCAGATTCTGCTAAGTCCTTAGTTATGATCTTCTTAATTTTCAGAATGATCAAAAAAGTAAAATGATGGACAAGACTGTCATATATGATAAGGGACTTTTCTTGAGGAGGATTGGATTTTCATATGTAATTTCCTCTTGGTCCCTACTTGTGCCTTTCAAATTTGAGATTGACCAATTAATCAGATAGCTGACAGGAAGCCATCTTATACTCTTGAGATTGGAAGTTTGTTATTGGTTTTTCTTGAGTAGTGCTTTATGGATGTTTCTCAAATCTCATAAGTAAGTGCCTGATTGTTCCCTTTTGACGAGTCAGAATACTAAAAGGGCTAATAGTCGATCATCATAGATATTGACAGTGAAAGTTTGTTGAAAACTGTAGCTCTATCTTATAACACCCAAATTTGTCAGGCTGCATTCTTTGTGATATCTCAGACATGCTCAAGTTTGAAGTTTGTAGGGTGAAGGTCACTATTACTACCTTCAGAAATTCCTTATCAGCAATTTAAGCCGCTTCATACCTTGAGGTTGTGTGATTAACCTTCAAAAAAGTGCTTATTGTTATTGACTTCTTTCAAAATGAGTAGAGATTTACAGCAGTTCTTTATCAAATGATAGGCGAGTGGTCAATCTATCCTATGTATTGTTTCTATTTGTTTCTAAACAGGTGATGCTGGGTGGAGCATGGTACGATGAACTCCTGGAGAGAATGGGTGGTTCATTAAACCCAAATGGCTTTGCCCTTTTCGGGATGAAAGTGATTGCTGAACATCTGAAAATTACAGAAAAACCTTCAAAAGTTGATGTCATAATTCAAAATGTAAGTTTTGTACAGTGTGTTTTTGTTAGATTAAACAATAATGTTTCACTCTAAATCAATAAAGAAATACTGGAATTTGGCATTCTCATTAACAATATAAGTAAACCTTCAATCATGACATACATTCTGAAACATTTTATTTCACTACTTTTCAATTTTATTTTGTCGGTTTCTATGTTAATTTTGTTCTAAATCAACCAGATGATATCTTTGTGAAACAGGTACCACTATTTTGTATCTTTTATTTTTTCCTCTCAAACTTTTTTGCTTTGTTTTTCTAGGACTGCATCCCTCAGTATTTTGTGGGTCATAACGAGCGTGTAGAGAGAATATTTAAATACATAAAGGACAATAACCTACCATTAAGTTTGGTCGGCTCATCGTATAAAGGAGTTAGTGTAAATGACTGTATATACAATGCCAAACTTCGTGTGGAAAAGTTTACTGGTCCATCACCATATGTATCCCCTGATATATCAAAGGAACATTTCGCATTTTAAACCACAAGGGCTGCAGTTGGTGAACTCTGGTGAGAAATCCTGGTTTTATCAGGAATCCAATGTTGACTTCTCCTGGGCCAAAAACTGATATGTTTATTGTAAAGTTGATACAAGTCACAAGAACTAGGGAAGGAAGTCCAGTATGTAGTTTTGTATACACTGGTGTATAGGTATACAGTAACACTGTATCTGTAGGTCTAGCTGGGTTAATGCCCTGGATAGTGGATTTAGTATTGTAACTTATTGATAATTAAAAGTGTTTAGGCTGTGAAATAAGTTAAAACCACCAAGAATGCTATTCCTAAACAAAACTGGATATTTATCTTTTTACCATTTTTTGGAAATATTTATTAGAAGAGTGCAGATCTAATGTAATCCTTGGAATATTGCATAAAGTACATTGAACATAAGAGAAGGGATACATGTGTATGTGGGTATGTCCATGTGAGAGAGATGATGTTTTGTGATCTCTGTGTTTTATTAAATAAAATCTATTTTTGATTGTGAAAACAAAATTGATTTGTTGTGCTTTCATTATATCTAAAGAAAATGAGGTTGCAGTGTAAAAGAACTTAGAAAATTAAAGTATTTGCTAAAAATGGATAATAAATGATGTTACAAAATTATCAGTTTAGTAAATCTCTGGTAACATTGCTAGAGGGAAAAGAGACTGTCTGTATCTCTTTGTAAAGCTACAGGGAAAACACTGGAGTGAACTAGCCTTGCTGTGTTTATATACCATTTTTCTGCAAAATTACATGACTAATTTCTTCAAAATGTATGATAGTAGAAAATTTTATAATTTTCAAGCGGATTGAGGTAACGTTTTTGACAAATAATTTGTTAATTTTTTGGGGAAAAAGTGTAAGCTTTTACAGGATTTTTACCAATTTTGAATGAATGGTAGGTCTTGAGACCCCTACTTCTTCTTTAGGATTGATTAGATATTACCCAAATTTGGTCAGAAGTGTCCTTTGGTGAAGAGGAACAAAGTCTGTGTATAAATGGTGCTTAAAAGTCCTTCTTCCAGACAAGGATATTGTCCATGTCTGGTCTGAAAGGGTTTTCATGAATAGTTAATCTGACCTCTGTTTGACCACAAGTGGGGACCCAATATGATACTTCTATCAGGAATTGTTTGTCAGAATTTTAATTTTTTATCAAATGGCTGAATAGCTAAATCATTATTTTTGTTAGAAAACTTGATTCACTTCTGACTGGGAAACAAAACAGTTCTGGTCAGACTGGTCAGTGCCAAGTCCAAACCAGCTACAGTGAGGTGAGAGAGGGATTCAATGACTTGATGGATCAGTGAACAAATAAAATCAAATGTGAGAAAAGCTTCCACTTGGCCTAGTTTCATATCCCTATATATTGCTGTATTTTCCGAATTGTTAGCAGCATCTTTTTTCCATGAAAGTCCGGAGTGTGGCTTATATATGGATGGAAAAAAAGTATTCACAATAAAAAATATATATTGTCCCTGCCTTAGTAAATCTGTGGTATTAACAAAAGTAACAACACTGCTATATCACGCCTAATTAATGGTGTAAAATTATTATTACAGTTGTAAACTTATCACTCTCTTATGCATGATTTAGGAGTTATTGCCCATTGTTATTTTTCATACTTAAATTCTGTCCAGAGCATTACATTAAAACTGTAAGAGGCATCAACATGATACTTTATAGGCAGATAGATCTCAACAAGGAGAAGTGCTATCACTCTTTTTTTTCCATATTTTAGGAGTCAGTGCCCTTTATTTTTCATACTTAAATTTTGTCTGGAGCATTACACTCAAACTATGAGATGTAAACTTTTAGGTTGATAGATCTCAGTGAGTAGGAGGGCAGTGCACAAGCATCATAACTCTCTTATTACCCTTAGGTTATTTTTCAGTCGCAGAGCATAACACGTCTCTGGCAGCCTTTCTTTTTAATTGTTTCATACAAAGTATTGAAATGGAGAACTTCTACCAGAGTACTAGCTTGATGTCAGTACAAAGTTTTGAGTACCGGGTAATTACCTTGAACTAGTCTGAAAAAATGCACTTTGTGATTTTGCCTATCTGTCTCCATAGTAACGGAAAAAGTATTTAAATGGAGAACTTCCCCAAAGCTAAAGGTACCACTAGCTTAATAAATGTAAAATCTTTTGATCAATGATCTTGAACAGTTTCAGAGGACTGGTACAGAAAAAAACTGAAATTTGTAATGAGGGTTATCGGTTTCTATGGTAACAGGATAAAAATTTAACTAGGGTACTAACCGAATAAATGTAGAAAGTTTTTTTAAGTTGTAGCCTGGAAAGAAAAGTAAACACAAACTTTTTTTGGTTGTTTCCATGGTATTAAAAATGAAATCTTGTCAAGAGCAAAAGGTACGACTAGGGCACTAATTTGATATATACAGCAAGTTGAGTTGAACTGTTTTGAAGATATAGCCCAGAAAATCTCTCAGACGCACGCATGTTTCACAGGGGATAAAGCTATAAGATTTGAGTAGAAGTAACACTCTGGTATAACCTGGGTGGGAATGATTCAACCTGAATCATATCATCATAGAACATTTCTATATATCCACTTGTCAAGTAGTAATGGTGCAGAATGCCTGGAAACAATATACCAGACCATGATACTGAAGTACCATAAAATACAAGTAACTACTGGATCAGACTCATTTCAATGAAATTTTCAGGTTAAAATTAATGTTTCTTATAGATATTATGTACCAAGTAATTCACTTCTGATATCATTTTGTAAGAAGTTCTTCTCATCAAAAAAGATGGCTTAAGGCTAAAACAGAAACATAAAACACATTTTAGAATTTATAATTTTATCTTTATTGTTACATAACTTTCATTTTCCTTCACATGCAAGCAACCTGTTTTACTGTGTAATTGGATTCCAGTAAATTATACAGTAAATAAGTGTAACTCATCATTGTTAGATGTTATAGACAACATGTGTGATTCAGTTGTAACAACCAAGCAGAGATAAACTATTGAGCATTGTCCAATATAATACACACTATTCAACTGACCTTTGTCCAATACATATACAGATATATCAAACATCAGATAGAATACTTGATCAACAGGAAGATAAGGTTAACAGTTGTACCTAACATATCCTAATATATATCTAAGTTGTGTCTTCTACAACCTTTAATCTCTCATAACTCATTACTCAGAAAAAAATATCAACCAAAATAAAACATGGCAATTTGTCTATTATCACATTTTCTCCCCAATGTTAAGCCCTGAATGTGTGAAGCTTTGTAGCATTGTTTCAAAATAGGTGTTGTTTTTCAAGAGGTTTGCTATATTCGGCCAATATTTAGCCACTATACAGAATGAAGGCTTCATTTGTTATGGTTGTAGTGCTACTCCATTGCATTGTTAGCGTAGTTCTGTGGTGATGTTCACACTTATCAAAGATGATTCCTGTTTGCTGCTGCACTTCAGTAGTATGGAAATGAATATGTAACAGTGTTATCTAGTACAGTCAATATAGACAGGCATTTGAGTTGGTGAAATTGGACACCAGTAAAGACAACAGCTTTTGTATATAACATACCAAGTAAAATCATTAACTTATCCATTGTGTTCTTCACAAAAAATTGGGAATACAACTCTTGAAAAAAATCATTTTCATCCCAAAAAAAAAAGGAATCAACTTCATTAATTCAACATGTGAAGTATAAAGTCTGGGTCAAAGGGTCACTTTTTCCCTTCAACCATGATGATGTGATAGCCAAACTTTGTTTTGATTGGTGGATCAGTGTAATTGGGATTGGCTAGAGAGCTAATTGGAAGGGCAAAGGCTGCATCTTGAAATGGACCCACCATACTACCTCTGGTCATCCAGCCAAGATCACCCTGTATCAGAAAAAAAAGGCACTGAGTTAGTGCAACAGGGTCATATCGCAGTATTACATTTAAAGAATATCTTAAAAAGATAATTTGGGTAAAACATTCAGTTCAGCAGGATGGTGATTTAAGGTCACATTCAAAGTTAAGTAGGTAAGCAGTTGTATGAAATGCATCTGACTTTAGGTACCATCATCAAAGATTTAATGGAAACTGAAGTTATATTAAAGTATTCAGTGTAAATCATAAAACTGCCAAATTCTTTCTCCATTCCTTGAGAAAAGATTGAATTGTTATCCTTTGTGGTGAAATAGAAAGGTAAATAGCACCAAGTAAAAGTGAAATAACCTCCTTCCATAAGGTGGTATATATTGAAATGCTTACCCCTTGTCTTGCTTTATCCTCACTATAATTGGTTGCCACTTCATTGAACTTTGTCCCACTTTTTAATTTTTCCATTGCCTCTAAAACCTTGGACTGTTTCTCACATAAAATGTGCCTCACCTGAAATCCATCAAAATCTCAGAAATGAAAATACCATTAAATAAAGATATAAATAAAGGACATGTCTCATGATAGGTTAATGAAAGTTTGATCCTAATATTGTATAATGATCAAATTTCATCAACACATAGATATGTACAGTTGTATTAATGCACATTGCACCAAATACTCTGTGCACACATCATGCATACTTCATGCACACACATGCCCCACTTGGTATTATGTACACAACTGTGCAATAGGATCACACATTTTGTGCGGTTTGGTAAAAAAGGTTCGCTAATATTACAAATTGAAAATTAAACAGAAAACTTATGTAGTTATTACTAAACAGCAATCACAGGATATTAAAATTGACCAGTGATGATAAAAGTCGTTTTCAATATGTTAGTTTTTTTAAATAATACTGGACCCTTTATGAATTAGTCTAATTGTATATAGTTTCACAACTCAGAGATTGGCAAGTGGTGTGCTTCAGACAACAAAATTTACCCATATAGTTTTTGCCTACAAAAAGACGGAAAAAAGAAATTAATACAGAAGTAATGAAAATGAAATTTCCTCTCCGACAGACGAGATTTTAGATGATATAGTGCCAAGACAACAACACTGTATGTGATAGATTGTGTTGATATATTGTTATTTTGGTTAATGTAACACAGTAACACAAATAATGAAGGATGACAATTTTTGACTTGTGCCCTGTCCAGGGCTTGAACTCATGATTTATGGCACCAAATCGCCTAGCCAAGAAAACCCAAAAACCATTAAACCAATACAACATCTACAAAAAAGGCTGTTGGAAATATGTACTGATACTATTTTTTTTTTTTTTTTTTGACATGAGTATGGTGACAAAATGTCAATTACATGATATGTACACTTGGGTTATTGTTCATACAACACACATCAAATTCCCGTACAATACAAGAGGTAATTCAAATCTGGAACCCTCCATCACTGAATAGATGAGACTATAGGTAAAATGAGTTTCAGGTGAGTAATTCACTCTTTTATTAGCTTTATATCTTGTCAATCATTTCTCTTCTTTCCTGTTATTGCTCTTATCTATATGAAGCTGAAAATTCCTCTCAAAAAAATAATAATCTTTAATTGTCAACCTGTCGTCATTTTGTTTTATGATTAAGTCCCAAACATAACAAGAGGCCCATGGGCCTTAACGGTCATCTGACATTAGATACAAGATATTTGACCACTGTGACCTTTAAAGTGGGTCAAGGTCATTCATTTGAACAAACTTGGTAGAGCTCCATGCCAGTATGCTCTGTGCCAAGTATTAGCCCCCTAGACCTTCTAGTATTTGAGAAGAAGTTGTTTGAATGAAAAGTTTACGCATGGCGGACGGCGCACGGTGGACGGCGCACGACGACGGACAAAGCACAATGGCTATAGGTCATCTTGACCCTTTGGGTCAGATGACCTAAAAAAGCATAACAAAGGAGTAAGGATAAGCTTCATTTGAAATTTGAGAAAGATCTATTCAGTTTTTTTTTAAAGAAATGGAAATTCACGACAGCCACCTGTCCCAAAATCAAAAAGACACACAGTTTCAGAATTTCCTGTACAGCATAAAACAATGAACTAAAAATAAGATACCATCGATTTACTAACATGGAAATATGCACCGACCTTGCTTTAATGCTGAAATTCTGAAAATTAATAATATTCAATAAGTTTTGGATAGGTAAGGTTATACCCCTCAATCTGCTCACGACAGATATTTTGCAATCCAGCCTCTGTCCCAATAAGTACCGGGCATTTTTCTTACAGGTTCAACCAGTCCAACTGTTTCAATTGCTTAATCCTAAATGTTGTGTTTGTACAGAGTGTACCTGTCTCGTGCCTGATCTTTATTTGTTGTCCTATACTTTGAAGGTGTCTTGACTGTTCTCCTTTGTGATTGGTCCTTAGTTTTGTGCTAGTCTATAATTTAGGGTGTTAGGTTTAGTGTATCACAGACTGATGAATTGTCCAAATTATTCTGACCTTCTATCAACATTTTTTATGTCAGTCTGGAATCACATTGAATCCAGATCAATAAAAAAAGTTGATAAATAGAAAGTCAGAATAATTCAGACTAACTAATGGATTTATTTCCTGGAACATGTCATCCCTTTCCTTAAAACATTTAGAGATTTAGTGCTTATAAGATCAGTATGGTACATTCGTAGGTTTACTCTACATTATGTATTAGGCCAATGTTTCTTTCGATATATACTGTGAAATTATGTTGTAAATATCAATGTGCTATATGCAACAGATTGTAAATTGTCAAGGCGTTTGTTCTCCTCTACAACAGTTAAGGAAAACCCCAAACAATTCTGGAAATACATCAACTCCAAACGAAAAGTAAAAACAGGAATTTCGGACTTGAAGGGACTAGAAGATAACATATCAAAAATTGCCACACAAGATAAGGTTAAAGCAGATGTTTTAGCTACATTTTTCAGTAGTGTATTCACAGAGGAACCACCAGGCGACACACCAAAAATGCATAATAAAATAATAAAATACCCATTTCGAGATATCATATGCACTGAAGAAAGTGTCGGAAAACTCCTCTCGGACTTGGATGGCAGTAAGTCTCAAGGACCTGACCAAATGCACCCAAAGTTTATGAAGGAACTAAAATCGATCATAAACAAACCGCTAAGTATTATTTTCAACAAATCATTGGAGGATAGTCAAGTTCCATCTGCATGGAAAGAGGCCAACATCACAGCAATATTCAAGAAAGGATCAAAATCGGACCCAGGGAATTATCGTCCCGTAAGCCTCACCAGCATAGTTGGAAAAACCATGGAAAAAATTGTGCGAAATTCCATCATTAATCATATGGAAAACAATGATCATTTTAGCAACAAGCAATTTGGATTTATCGCGAAACGGTCCACAGTTCTCCAGATCCTTATGGTGCTTGAGGATTGGACGGATATACTAGATCACAGTGGGGAAATTGATGTTATATATATGGACTTTATGAAGGCCTTTGACAAGGTACCACATCGCAGGTTAATTGAAAAATTAAGAAGCTACGGAATAGCAGACCAAGTCGTCAACTGGGTAGAAAACTTTCTACACGAAAGGAAGCAGAGAGTACTAGTTAATGGAAAAGCATCCAAAGACCACCCGGTATTAAGTGGGATCCCCCAGGGCAGCGTACTTGGCCAAATTCTATTTGTAATCTATATAAATGATCTGCCAGATTATACTTCTTCGAACACCTACCTATTTGCTGATGATACTAAGATTTATAGAGAAATAAAAAGTGATGAGGACAGGAAGGCAATGCAACAAGACTTGGATAAACTGCAAGAATGGTCTAACAAATGGCTTCTAAAATTCCATCCACTAAAATGCAAAGGATTAACAATAAAACAAAAAAGGAAAGAAACATGGACATACCATATGGCAGGAGCAGAGGACAACATGGCGTTGGAAAACATAACTTCAGAAAAAGATATTGGCGTAACGGTGGATAAAGATCTAAATTTCTCTATGCATATGCAACAAGCTGTAAACAAAGCCAACAGTATTGTTGGTCTTATTAGAAGGTCCTTTGTATACTTAGATGAAGTGTCTTTTAAACAACTGTTCAAGGCATTAGTCCGCCCACACTTAGAATATGCCGCAAGCGTCTGGAACCCATACAAAATAAAGGATATTGAATCAATAGAGCGCGTGCAGAGACGGGCAACTAAGCTTATACCGGGGCTGAAAGAACTATCCTACAGCGACCGTCTCAAGAAACTCGGACTCCCGACATTGGCATACCGTAGATTGAGGGGAGATATGATAAACGTTTTCAAAATTATGGATAAATTTCACGATGAGAAAGTCACCATAGGCATGTTTGATCGAGACGAAAATTCTAAAACAAGAGGCCACTCAAAGAAACTGAAAAAGAAATCATGTAATCTGGACATTCGGAAATACTCATTTGGACTAAGAACTATAGACCTATGGAACAGTCTACCAGAAAAAGTCATTCAATCATCAACAATCAGAGACTTTGAAATTAATTTGGACAATCATTGGAAAAATCTCGAACTGAAATTTAACCATCTGGCTCGTTGCAATTCACTAATCGGAAGTGACTATGTAATTTAATTGTATGATTATTATTGATATGGATATAGAGGCACTGTGTGCCTGCGTCCATTAAATATCCTAATAAATCCTAATAAAAACAGTTACATTAGTTACCCATCAAACCTTGGCTGGTCTAAAGGGCGAGTCGTGTGTGGTTTGATGAACAAAAAAAGGGCACCTCTCGATTCTGTTAGAAATTTCAACTGCCAAAATCCAATAAGGCTGCCTATCAATCATATTGTTTTCTTAATCAGTCTTATAATCAAATGAGAACCAGGTGTTCATATTAGTTTCTACGAAGTTCATCTGTTCATTAAATATATCTTACTTTGACAGCAGTTCCACCCTTTTTCTCCTTTTCACCTCCACCTCCCTCAGCTCCTTTTGAACCCCCCTTTCCACTTTTCCCTCCACCGCCACCTCCTTTATTCTTCGGCATGACAGCAATTGACTAATTTGAAATGACAATTTAGATTTGTTTATGTACACACGTGTGTGTTGCAAAACAGGAAGTACACTACCGGAAATAGAATATAGACCTGTACATTGTATCGCAGTATTTGATTAGTTAAAATCCTAGAATTAACCAATCACGAGTTCGCTTTTATAGCCGTTTCGGTCTGACCCCAAATATGGCTGCAATATAACAACAAAATAGGTGGAACTTAAGCTTATTTACAACAAAATGTCAGATGAAGAATATGGACCAGCTCTTCCTCCAGGTATATGTCGCATGTATTTGCCTAGATTGTTCTCTGGCTGGCCATTACAAAATTAATCACTTTCAATGCCTGGTCAGTCAAAATTTGTGATTGAAAGGGAACAGGTTGAAGTTATATATGCACATCACAGACACCTGTATCACGAACAACCTAAGAAAACATTCAATTCACTCTGTATAAACAATAAGGCATACATTTTCTTAGTAATGTCATGCAATTAAAAATAAAATTATGGATATTTTTATACGCTCTTGGTGGAGATGGAATATCTGTTAAAATCTATGATCGATTATCGGTTAAAACCAACAGGCTTTTTGATGCAGTTAATCAACTGTATAATCCGCTGACTACGTGTTTAAATAATCATAAAGTAAATGCATTCTTCGTGGCAGTAATATTTTCTTTCTAAAAACTGTAACTTGAAATATCATACCTAGAAATAACATAAGAATGAATATAATTGGCTAAAGGCATCTTTATTACACAAGATATGAATTTGTTTTTGCGAAAACACAAGAAAATATTGCAGTATTAGAAATAACAATCATCGCATCAGACTAGGTTGAATGATTTGAAAAGTCATTATATCTCATTGTCCTATAGCTATTAGATCATTTTTCTTACAAAATTTGCAAAACAAGTGAAAATATCTAACAAGGGAGATAATGATAATAAATACAATTGCTCAGATTTCACAAATAGACTTGAAATATTCCTTAGCATCCAATACTTTATGTTCAGGGTCATTAGCATCTTTATTTGTGTAGATTTCATACTCTACTCTACCTCAATATATCTTGCATTTAACATTCTTTGAGATACAGCGGTTAAAAACCTATCTCTGGCACACAAATATGTAGAGCGAATGACCACAGAACTGGGATAGACTAAAAATTAAGGCATTTACATCTTATCAGTTTCAAGAAAAGCTGGACATCATTTGTAGATAATTATAAGTGTATATGGATTTGAAATATTTACAATTATATCTTCAAATTTCAAATTTTACAGTAATGTATAATATATACAGACCTTACTTACCACAATGCATCATATAACTAAATATTGCTATCCGAAGGTTCCAGATTGAATTACCTTTTTAAATTGAACTAGCGCTTGATGTAAATTCCTATTTATATCACTATCCAAGTGTTCATAGTTTGACAATTTTCAACAATGAGTAAGTTGACAAAATCTCTGTTGTCTATCAGTACAACTTCCAAACATGCATTTTCATAGATGATGTAGTGGTGTAATGGTTTGGCAGTCTGGCAATTCTTTTTGTAAATGTGGTGCCACAGATAGTGAGTTCAAGTCCTGGATGGGGCATGAGTGAAAAAGAAGTTTGAACCATGAAATCTGTCATTTTTTTGTTGTTGTTTATTTATTTTTTCAGAGTTACTGAGGCAAAAATCGAAAGACCAAAAATTTACATCATCAGAAAAAGGTCAGGATCCATGTTCAGATGATGACAATGACAGTTATATTGGACCAATATTACCGCCATCATTGAAACAGAAAAAAATGGAATCAGATCAAACACAACCAGAAAAAGATTATATTGGCCCAGTCCTGCCACCTGGCTTTGGACAACATAAAGCTGAGGAGAAAAAGAACACTGTGGATAATAATATGATTGGACCAGTATTACCCCCACATCTGCGGTCAGTGTCAGGATCAAAAACAATGTCAAGGTCAGCAGCCATAGGTCCTGCACTGCCACCTGGTTTTATGAAACATAACCGTGATGAGTCTGATGAATCATCTGCGGATGAAGAAACTATTGGGCCATTACCCACAGAAATGGACAAAGGAGATTCAACGGGTTATGAAGCCTACCAGTTTGAAGAACGTGCAAGGAAGATGAAAGATAGACTAGAAGGGAAGGTACTGTGGATAGAATAAAAAGTTAAAAGAAATGCAGTAAACTCTCACTAAAGAGATAGATGACAAATTGACAATAAAAAGTATAAGAAATTTCTTAGATTCATTTGGAAAATATTCTCAGGCATGTACAATACATCCTCCATATTTTAGTATGTTAGCTTATCAAAGAATATTTACAAGAAAACTCTTTCTCTTGCAGACATAATAAGATACCATAATCCTTTGACAATAAGCCCATCAATATGTGCAATGATTTTTGTAGAATTTTTTTAGGCAAGACCAGAACACCAGTTTCAAAGAGACTGGCCCTCAAAATTTGAGTGAGTTCCACAAGAAAGTAAAAGTCCAGGACTTTGAGTCTGAAAAATCTCCAGTTTATTGCTCTTCTGTTATACAAATCGGTGAAATAGAAAGCTTTTGACACCTGAGTCTTGTGCTTGTCAAAATTGACTCAAAAGTAAGAAATAATGCATTTACTGATTTAAACTCATGTGTGGCAAATGGTCACAATATATAATAGCTGATAAAATACAGGTTGATTGTATCTGGTTTTTTTTTAAATTCTAGGAATGCTTAACAGTTAGCAAGAAAGATAGGTCAGGTGTCATCAGGAAATTGGTAAATAAATGTGTATATCTGTTACTCTTTAGGACAACAAGGAAGAAAAACTTGTTCGAGAATCTTGGATGACTGAGTTGCCATCCACCAAACTTGGACAAAGTATAGGACTAAGTGCACGAACTTTCCGAGCCAATGCTGGACCTGACCTAACAGATAGGTCTGTATGGACAGACACACCTGAGGAAAAGGAAAAGAAATTCAAAGTAGGTTGGAAAGAATTGCTACTATTATGTTATGTTATAACAATGCAGAATCAAAAGTTACAGGACTTAGAAAAATAAATTAGAGGAATCTGATGCATTTGTTTTTGGTTGGTAATATCCTGCCCTTATGTCATCTCCTCAATATATTGACATGGTATCAACAATTAATCATTCTGAAATTAAAGGTATATTGATAATGTTACTAGTTTTAATTGGAAGCCTTTTTTCTTCATCACTCATAGGATGCTGCCTTGGGAACAGGGAAAGGAAGCAAGAGAGATCGTGAAGATTACCAACCATCCAAACGTGACAAGAAGCTGAGAAAGCAAATTGAGGAATATAATGTAAATTTTTTCTACCGTTTCTTAGTTGTTTTATGTCAGCATCTTGTGATATTTGGTCTTTGGGAAGTTGGAATAGTTAACAGGAGTGATATAGGTACTGGTTAATCGGTGTGATTTGTGTTAACAAAGAATATAAATATGTAAATAAATAGGGTTATATGATACACTCTTTCTTAGATTGTGTTAGAGTTTGGGTACATGCAACACTCTTTCTATTATTTGTCTTGATGTGTATAATATTAGATTTCTTATTGCTGCAGAGCAGAATATCTTGTGTTTCATTTTCTCTCTAGGAAACTTATATTTATTGTCATATGATTAATGAGTTAGAAAAGATAAACATCAGCACCACTGACTCCTGTACATGAAAGTGATTGATCCGTTATTGGCGTCCAGTGTTCTGATGTGTTGAGGATTATGATTTGAAATAAATTGGATGCTACTCATCATTTCTGCTTAGTTGACACTTGATGAGGACTATTAAATACTATTAGACATCTACTCGTAGATTTCTAATGCCACTACGGAACAGATCTCCTTGCAGGGAGAGTGGGGCTTCACTTCACAACTTGTAGCTACATGTAGTTGTAAGATTTGTTAGAGTTTTGTTGATGCAAACAAATTATTTCATATATCTTTCAAAAGTGTCACAATCAAAATAGGTCCAATTTTTGTGTCGCCTGCAGAGCTGGCAGACACTTAGGAATCACTTTGTCCGTCGTTACACGTCAACGGCGATGTCAGCGGCGTCTGTACGAAAGTTTTCCGGGCTTATTTCGGTAATGCTTGGAGTTATCAGAATGAAATTTGGTATATGGTTTCCTGTTGCAAGGGTACAGATTTGATTGTCGGCTGTCTGTGACCCTTCTTGGCAGAGTTACGCCCCTTTGAACTTAGAAAATTCTCTGGAAATATTGTTTTCTGGACTTTCTTTGGTTATGCTTTGAGTTATAGAAATGAAATTCGGTATATTGCTTCTTGTTGGAAGGACACAGATTAGTTTTGACATCCAGTTGGATTTCTGGGAGACCGTGACACTTTATGCAGACGACACATACAGTTCCAAGGAACTCTTGTTATTAATTTGAGATAAATTTTGTTAAGGATTTGTAATTATTATCAAGCAATTCAGTTTTGAGACATGTCACCTTAAAGACTATTTGCGTTGCTTTAACCACATGGTTGTTGTTTACAGCAATCCAAGCGTCCTGAGTCTCTTATGGAAATGCATGAGAAAAAGTTGAAGAAGGAAAAGGTAAACACTTAGTACTGTATTGTAGCCATAGTCTCACTTAGTACTGTATTGTAGCCATAGTCTCACTTAGTACTGTATTGTAGCCATAGTCTCACTTAGTACTGTATTGTAGCCATAGTCTCACTTAGTACTGTATTGTAGCCATAGTCTCACTTAGTACTGTATTGTAGCCATAATCTCACTTAGTACTGTATTGTAGCCATAGTCTCCTCAACATTCACTATCAAAACATCTGAATTGTTTTACATGTAATATGTACAGTATAAATTTTCATGGATCAGTCAATCTTCCTGTAGGCCTGCAACACTCTTTGTTTAACGTTCCCCAGACTGAAAATTGAAATCTTTTGGTTTTAAAGCAGCTTTGGTCAAGTGATCAATCCAACTTGACTGGGATAAATAGAAATTATCTAATTGTCATAACCAAGAAAGTATGGTAACAATATCTAAATATTAAGTATTTTTAACCATTTTGACTTGGATAAATAAAAATTGTCTTATTGTTAGAATGAGGGAAATATGTTAACAATATTTAAATGTGAAGTATTGTTTACTTGTTTCTTTATGACACATTAATGTAATAAAGTGCAACATTGGCATTTAACCTTTTGTTATTCAATTTGCAGGAAAAGGAAGTCGCCACACCAAAAGAAAGACGTCCATTTGATCGAGATATTGACCTTCAGGCCAATAGATTTGATGATGCACAGAAAAAATCAATTATCAAGAAATCTCAGAAACTGAACTCTAGATTTGGACATGGTTCAACAGAATTTTTATAATAAAGATTTCATAATGAATATTTTGCAGTATGTAGTTTGTATAACAGGAGAGACTAGTGGTTCATTGTATTGTTACAAAGTTCATCTTTTACCCTTGATGGAGTATTTTTATTACCACAATTTATCATTCTGTATTTCCTTGTCATACCTTGAGGTGGAGATAAGGTTATTCTTCTGACGTATCAATTTATGATGTTACATCAACAATTAAATGACATTAAGTAATTTTTACCCCGCTGTCATCCTAAGTGCCCTTTGACTGTGGTCTGCCCCTAAAAATTTCTTGCTATTGCAATTTCTTGAGAAGTACTGGTTGAATCTTTCTCAAATTTCTTAAGTAAGTTCCCCTTGGTCCCTAGTTGTGATCCTTCGATTTTGAGACTGATTAGAACAAGATGCCCATAGGGCCTGTATCACACATCTGGATCTTAAATCCCAGCAATGCCTTTAGGTTGGGTATTTCAAATATTTCCAAATTATAGCTCAGTCACATAACCTCTTTGATTTGGCAAGGCAAATCGGTAACTTCTTAGATCATGACTCTTTTTTTCTCTCTTTTGATTCCCAGTAAGAGTTTATATGGTTATCATGTTGGTGCATCAATTACATCAAAATTTTAATCCAGAAATAACTTCCCTTTAGGTGTGCCACACCCAAGGAACAATGCTTGCATAACAAATGTGTTTATCTTTTGATGGCAAGCAATTGTATAAAAATGGTTATGGGGTGAGGATTTCAATTGTTTCAAAGATATCACCCAGAAATTAAGTCCAGAGGGATGGGGCCACGCGCAAGGGCCAGGTCTTACATTGTGAATGTGTTTATCTCTAGCTGCTCAGAATTGCCATATATGGTATAGGATTGGGATCTTTTTCAAAGATATTACCATAAAACAGTCCCTAGGAAATCCACCATTTATGTCAAACTGATTCCCTTCCACCTAAACATGATTCAGACGGAATTTGGACAAAATCCAGTCATACCTACTAGAGAAGGAATTTAAAGAATTTGCTCTATATCCCCTATTGGGCCCCGCCTCTTGACTTCCCAGGAGCCCGAAATCCACTATTTATACTAAATTTATTTCCTTTCACCCAAACATGATTCACACCAGATAAGGACAAAATCCTTACATTCCTACTAGAGGAGGGGGTTTAAAGAATTTGCTCTATTTCCCATATTTGGCTCCGCCTCTCGCGACTTAGGGGGCTGAGATCCACCTTTAAACAAAATTGATTACCTTTTACCCAACCATGATTTACACCAAATTTGGACAAAATCCAATTATTCCTACGGGAGGAGTAGAATTTATAAGGACTTGCCAAATTCCCCTTTTTGAACCCCGCCCTTTTGACGGACGACGGACGCCGCGGCATCTCCATAGCTCACTTCCCGTCGGTCTCCAGATGTGCTGTTTTGATTTTGGGACTTATGGCTTACTCCCATTTCGCCTTAGCTGTCAATTTTATGGTAAAAAATGACTCCCATTTCGCCTAAGCTGTCAATTTCATGGTAAAAAATGACTCCCATTTCGCCTTAGCTGTCAATTTCATGGTAAAAAATTATTCCCATTTCGCCTTAGTTGTCAATTTCATGGTAAAAAATTATTCCCATTTCGCCTTAGCTGTCAATTTCATGGTAAAAAATTATTCCCATTTCGCCTTAGCTGTCAATTTCATGGTAAAAAATTATTCCCATTTCGTCTTAGCTGTCAATTTCATGGTAAAAAATTATTCCCATTTCGTCTTAGCTGCCAATTTCATGGTAAAAAAATTATTCCCATTTCGCCTTAGTGCCAAAACCAGGTAGGAAGGAGTCAGCTAAGGCGAAATGGAACCTTGTATATACAAAATAAGGAAGCCAAGTAATTAATTTAATAATGTTTATTAAGCTATATACTAGTATTCTTTTAACATTACAGATATATGTCTGAGTGACGGCATTACGGGAAGCACATTCGAAATCAAGGCTAACTGTGCTCGGTGAGAAGTTCAGGTTGTGTCGAACGGCAATGTCTTTCAGAAACGTGAATAATCTATTGTAGGTGTTTGTATCTCTCTTCAGCAGTAATGAATACACAAGCGGAAACATAACAGTACCAACAAAAGCATGGATGGTGAAGATACTGTCAAACATCTATGGGGCTGTATAAAAGGTTCCATCGTAGTAGACGATCTCGGCAGAGCATAGATGTACTAGGTTCTCGTCAGTTGTGAATATCAGTATTTTGTCGTTGTCTCCATCATTTGCTTGTAGAAACTGTTCTCCACTGGTGGTCTGGGTAAATTTACCTTCAAGTTGTACCTCTGGTCTGGTGTTCGGAATTGGCGGTAGTGTCTTCTTTCTGCTACGATAGAATGACGACTTCTTGGCATCAAACGTTGGAAGTTTAGAGGCAATCTCTATACTCTGAGCATCCCATGGAGTAGTTCGGAGTTTGGATATTTCTTCATCATAGATGGCTGGTAGTGGATGAAGTTTGGTTTTAACTCTCGTTCGTACGTTGTTCACAATCTTCTTGCATTCTACAGCTGCTCGGTCTGGAAGATAATTCTAAAACTATAACTAAATATATAAATTGCTTATAAACATACATTTCATTGAAAAACTAGGTTTTTAAAATAAGATTTGTTCCTTCTTTGAATTATAAAAAAACCAATATTTATTTAAATATATTTAATTGATTTAGTATTAATAGTTCCAATACAAAATATGGTTATTTTTATTTCTTCATATATATTTTTTATATCATGTATATCTTAAATCTATGTGGCCTTTGGTCAATTATAATTAAGATTTAACTGTAGAATGAATTATTGTAAAAACAACAACTGTTGCAGGTAATTTGTTTGTTTATCTTTCTACACTTTTCCTAAATTCCCACTTTGCCTTAACCCAATTTCCATTTCGCCTTAGCACATTTCCACCTGTGTTATACCAAAATATGTAACTAAGGCGAAATGGGAACACACCGGACTGATCAGTGGCCAACAAATGTCTATCTTGGATTTGACATTTAAAGATTATACAAGTAAACACGCTTTGTTAAGAGGAATTTTCCAATTAAACAGCAAAATCATAGACAGAGTAGAAAAGAAAACAAATGATCCCACTTTGAAACATCAAATTAAAATAAAATGATAGTAAGCGGCAAGATCAGTCGGGAACTATTCAGACAATATTTGTCCCCATTCATGTGTAGATATTAGTTTCCAGCATTCAAATATACACAATACAGATAACGACTTAATTAAATCTTAGTTGAAATTATCTTCTAAATAGAGTTTATTTGAGTACGGTAGCTATGAAATATTAGTTTTAATACCAAACCATTTATTGTTGAAACTTAACGTTTCAGTATGTAAGCGTTATAAAGGTTAATTATATGTATCCTTCCACGTGTATTTTCGTGTATTCATTAAAAATAAAGTGATTTTTGTGATATAAGAAATTGACTACAAATTTCACTCCACCAGATTACTTTTTTTTTTTCGATATTGATATTGTATATTGATAGAAATGTTTGTATAAGTAATTTTCAATCTTTACCTACGAATTCGAAGAAACCTAAATTGTGACCTTTACGTAAGGTGTTTAAGATTTAAACGTCGCCAACCTTTGGTTCGTATCACTAAAATCATTCCAGCCGTGCAAAATTCAGAAAGCGTTGTAGACAGTATCCACACTGTGAAGTAACAATGTCGATAATTTTGTATTTATCAATTAGTCATTGGATCGTTTATGTTGGTAACATCCGATCATCTCCAAAAGCAGACGGTCCCCCTTAAACGACCTCTAACACGACGGCTGCATGAAACAGGGGTTGCCTAAACCGCAGCGTCCATTTTGGCGCGACAACAACTGACCTCGGCGATAGACCTTTTAGGTCCTTTAGACGTTTTCCATTCACCATGACGAAGATTCACCACAAATATTATGTTTTCATCGAAACATGAGGCGATATTAAAACATATTTGATCACTTATTTTTCAGAAATGTTGGTGAAATAATGAATATTATCTTTCAATACAGAATATAATATTATTTGATTAAACTCGTTGACGAATTTGATGTCACTGGCCTGAAGAATTAGACTAAGAGAGCTTAGATTTTAACAGACATTTTTTATTTGAAGCTGGCTCAATGTGCATAACAGTATTAATCTGGGTTTTAATACCTTCATTGCTTGTCTGAATTTTAATGTAAATTTTGGATTTTCCTTTCGGAAGGCTTTAGCGTCGTAACAGTAGTAGTTATACGTTTTGGTGCGTCACACGGCGATGACTTTCAGCTTCCCGATAAACCACAACTAAATCGTGTGTACCCATGGATGTTAAAAATCTGACTGGATAAATCATTCTCAGATTTTAATTTCCATTTTTTATTCACATAATGATGACAGGTCTTAACATCACAGCAGAGTTACATGGCAGAATCAATGTTAACTTAACCTTTCTAAAAAAAATAGATAAAGTAAATAAACCGAACACTTTACTGACTAACAATATGGCGGAATATAGATATTATATTACTCGTTATAAGTCCGGCCATTTGTTGGCCTTTTAAATAGGTCGTCATGGTGAACTAGTTATGGACAAAACATAAGTAGCCTGAATCATGGTATCTTATCAACAAAAAACCCTCACAATGTATAAATTATACACCTGATGAAGAAAGCTTAATACATCTAACAATAAAAAAGAGTCGTGAAAAATAATGTATTTATTTGAAAGTAGAATATTTATCACCTGACACCATACTTCTGTACTTGAAGTCGCTGATGTGTGGATCTCCCTGTCCAAGACATCATGATGTTTCAGGACATTCTATCCCCTGATGTGTTTTCACAAATAAATTATGATCGAGTGGCAAAAAACGGTAATAATAATATTTTCACTCTACGACGGTTGAAACTTGAAGTAATATTTTTACTCTATGAAGGTTGAAACTTAAAGTAATATTTTCACTCTATGAAGTTTGAAACTTGAAGTAATATTTTCACTCTACGACGGTTGAAA